ACACACAAAACCAAAAAGATTTTAAAAAATTATTTTTTTAAAATTAAAAAAACCACGCTCCGAATCCAAGCGATTTCCCCATGAAATAACGCAGACACTTGTGATTGGTGGATGTGCTCTCCTGTGGTCTGCTCCTACTTTTCCTTCAGCATTCTCTTAAGCCGATTCTGTTCCTAGAGTGGGTGGTCGGCGGGTGCTCTGTTGTGGTTTGCTTCTTCTTTCCTATGAAACATCTATCGTCCTTATTTTCCCTTATTCTTTTTATGTTTGTTACTCTCTTATAACACCTCTAGTCTTCTGGCGCTCATATAAACTTATGCAGTTGCGAGCGCCGTAAAACCTGTACTAAAAGTCTGTTCCTAGAATTATTAATCTCATTGGCCAAAGCAGAAGCCACAAATCATTTTAATTGCTATTTCTTCTATTTCTGTTTAAGAAATATTTTCCTCTATAGATGCAATGGACACACTGTTATTTAATGAATTAATCCGTGCCTTGCAAGATGCTCACATAATTGGAATCGACTTAACTTTTTTAACTTCTTCTCTAGAATCATATTGTATAATAGTCAATAGTTCGTCCCCCATCGTCTGTGTGGTTTCTGCTGTGGCCAATAAGACCAGTTCTAGCACAGAAAAGTTTGGCCACATTTTGAACATTTTCTAAAAATGTTTTATTTCCACTCGCGGATGTGTCAGTTTTTGGGTTCTATTGATCTTGGCTGCAACATAATATTATCTAATTCGTAAAGTCTAGTATGATCTGTGCCCTCTAGGCGACTGCTACTTTCCATCTATGTCTGGAACTAGGCTTTCAGATAGGCTCTAGGCACTCAGCTAGGCTCTCCCATCTCAAGGGATTATTATTGGACTTCTCTCTAGGACTACGTTATTTTGCTGACGGCGAGTGGTTGGAGGGCGTCACTGATAGGTCCAAATTCTCCCCCCTGATGTTTCCATCTGACTTTCTTACTTTTTACCCTCGCTAAAGGACCATCAATGTGTCGGTGTGCTTCTCTTTACCCAAACAAACAAACGATCCAGTGTTGTTGCTGTTATTATCGATCCAGAACTCAAACAAACAAATACACAAATTCTGCCGACTCTATCTTCATAAATTCCAACTCGCCAATGACCGTTTTCCCCTCCTCCTTCTCTCCGCCCCCCAGTCTCAGGGCCCCGCCCCCACCACTTCCAGATCCACGGCGCTGAGGCCGCCCTCCTCGACAAGCTCCGCCCCCTCGGGCTACGCCCCCAACACCAACACCTCGCAGCTGAGCAACAACATCAACGTCAACCGCTCACAAGTGCCCTCAGGTAAGTTAGCCCTATATGATGAGTCCCTCCCTCCCTGTGCCTTTTACTCCTCCTCTTCCTTATTCTCCTCCACCTCCTCCTCCTTATCCTCCTCCGCCTTTTCTTTCCTCCCCTCTCTTCCTCCTCCCCCTTCCCCTCCCCCTTTTTTGGTCCTTGTCCCACCCGTCCTTTTCCTCCTCTTCCTCCTCCTCC